GGCACCTGGCTGGAGTCTTATGACCCCTGCCACCCCCAGTGCTCCTTCCTGCCCATGGCAGGGGGTCGGACTAGATGATCTGTCTAGGTCCCTTCCAACTCATTGATTCTATGATTCTGTATCACTACAGAATCAAGCAGACATAACAGCTTGTATCATGTCCTTTGACAGCAATGTAATTGTTGTGTCTCTCTTTACCTTTAGTTTTAATGCAGCCTAGGAGCCACCAGACTAAGGAAAAGGGAAACCCCAAGCTCCTGAAAGGTTTGGGACGTGTCACTGGATCCATCTTGCCCACATGAAGATCAATTTAGCTCACAGAGGTCTAAGAATTCAAATACCTCCCTTCTGCTTTTGGCTTCTCCGACCTCTCAACAGCAGGCCAGTGCAGGATATGAATCATTTGCTCTCCCAGTTCACTCTCTTCCATGCTAATTTTACATTCCTGCAGGGGATCAGCTGGCAGATAAATACACAGGAAGAGGAAAGAACAGCCTAATTATCTTTGTTCGTTTGGGCAGGCCCACAAGGACACTCAACCAAAAATCTGTTTGTTAGTCCAATTGAGCTGAAGAATATTATTTAAATAAAAAACCTGGAGAGGACAATTCTGTGGAAACCTAAATGCATGATCACAGCGCAGAACTTTGATCTGAGGAGTTTATTGTAATTTGCCTGAGGAAAAAAAATAATTTTATGAACTGTGGTTTTACAGCTATTTAAATTTTATTGTCAGTTACTGTGTTCATTACTGCCTTCATCTCACTTGGATTCAGCCAATTCCTGCTAAAGAGAACAGCTGAATGGAGGTGGTCACAAAGCTCATTTGGCTGTTACTGATACATGAACAAATAAGCGCTAACTCCAGCCTGGTGATATTTCATGAAGAATCTATTTACAGCCAGGGAAAAGAACTTCAGAGAATGACAAAGTTCTCAGCAAAAGGAGAAAGCATCCAAGGTTGCATCCTATAAATATCTTATAGGACAAAGAGCATTTAGTTCAACTAGTTTTAAAAAGCACATTTTGGTCTGACAGTCTGTAGCATGGAAGCACACTGGGCCCCACCAAGCTTGGAAAGGTATGATATACACCAGTAATAACTTCTGTATGCATAACTGATGGACATGGTGAGCTCAGAAAGGAATCTTAATTATTATTATCCCACTCTTAATTATCATCATTTTACATTAGAACCAAAAGCCTCCAAGTGAAAGCCAAGATGCAGAGCACTAGGTGTTATATATATTAATGAGTCAAGGACTGTCCCTTAATAGGAACTTACATTCTAACCGCTAAGACACAGTATTAATATTTATTACTATTGTTTCGTCACAAAACTGGCTTGGTGGAAAGATGCGGCAGGTCAAAACCTGATGTTTTATAAAAGACTGGAAAATATGTCCGGTGTCTTAGACAGGCATTGTTCCATTGTTTCTAATGGAAAACAATAAAAGTAAATAAAATTAGTTTACTGGCTATGTCAGCAATTAGGTGAATTCTCACTGTACAGTAGGTAAAGCTCTTTTACTTTCAGTGAGGCAGAAAATCCAAGGAGGGTTAATGAAAGAACAGCATTTGACCAGACGTGTTATTTCTAATCTGATGAATTTAGCTGAAGCTCTTCCTTCTTTCAGTGCACATATAAGGAGAGTGAATAATGACTTGGAAATAAACTGTAAAGGTAAGCTTCTTACAACAGGGTTTAAGATGAATAAAAGCATCAAGGAGGTCAAACAAATGTGGCCCCTTTACATTTAAGCTGACAGCTGTGAATTTTTTTTTTTAATTTTAACCCATTTTAGAATCTCACCGAACCTTTTCTAGTTTGATCTTCCTACATAGTTTTTAATCACAAATCTGTACCCACGGACTGTACAGTCTTGTTTTCTGAATAGAATGCCAACCATCACACTAACTAAGCTAGCTAATATGCCAAGCTTCTTACCAACTAAAATAAAAGCCTTCTTTTTTTAAAAGAAAATGCAATTACACAGGAGACTCAGCTTAGATTCCCAGAGGCTGTCATTAGCTCCTATGGTTCAAAATGCTGCAGAGGAAGAGATTGGGGGAGGGAGGGGGGTTTCTGTTAAAAAAAAAAAAAGGGAAAAAAAAAATCTTAAACTTATTTGATACCTTTCTAGAGAATGAGTACCTACCTTCTCAAGCTCAGGTTATGAAGGAAGAGAAAAAAATAAGAATCATAGATAAAGCCTAAGAGATGTTTTTAAACGACATGAAAAGTAAGTTGGGGAGATACAGGAACCATTGCTTCTCTTCCTAAAGACAGGAGTTTCAGAAGGGAAGATTCTTAAATAAAAAATAGCACACTTACAGAGCCAGTGTTAAAGAGAGGAGTAGTATCTTTGTGCTAATGGTCACTGTTCAGAAGAAAGTGCTCTGAACAATGCACAGCCTGTAGCCTGGTAACTAGATCATTTGGCTGGAAAGGGGGAAAGATGCAACTCCCTCTCGGAGAGGGCTGGCCAGAACCCAGTTCTACTGGCTCTCTCAGTAAATGCCCTAACCAATAACTTACTGATCTAAATGGGCGAAAAAAGATAGGAGAGCCACTTCCTGCTCCATCCCAAGTGTCATGCATATGCCTTTTATTTCACCTACATGCCTATGCAGAGGGCAGCCCACTGAAATCCAGTCTGCTCAGTACAAGAGCACAGGTAAGTTTTTCTTAATATAACAATGGGTTTAAGGCAGGGGTATCCAACTTTTTTGAATGTGGGGCTGGATCATGAACTTTTTATCACCCAGTGGGCTGGTGAGCCATATTCAAAGACCTCACAGGAAGTGGTATCACATCAGGAAGTGATGTCACGTGACCTTTGACACCAATGAAGCTGCAGGAAGTGACAATGAAATGGGTCTAACCAGTTCAAAACTCTCCCTCTATAGCATCCACCTCTGCCACTGTTTGGGACAGGATACTGAGCTAGGTGGACTATGGGGCTGACCAAGCATGGCACTTTTTATGCTCTTATGTTCAGAAGCTCTTATGTTCTTTGGCTGAGCTTCCAAATTATGGCTGAGATTTGCAAAAAGAGGTAGACAGGCATGTTACAAAGTTGTCATAAAAGATTTGGAGCCCTCTAAATCCCATTCATTTTAATGGAAGTTGGCCTTTTGACTCAGTTTTGAAAATCTCAGCCCAAGGTGCCAACCAAATAAGTCAAAATATATTTTGCATTTCAATGCAGTGCATCTATGTGGGGCTCTCCAAGCATTTTACAAACATTAAATGAACCTCAGGATGAGCCCAGCCAGAGCAGCAGGGGCTCAGCTGCACTTTCCCCCTACCTGCACTGGTCAGTCCCGAGTGGCACACGGCTCCGCCACCACTTCCGCTGGCTGGTGCCGACCCAGGCAGGTCTGTGCCATCTGGAGCAGCACACAGCTCAAGCCGGCTTCCCAAGTGCTACTGGGGATGGGAGGAGTCCGGCTGGGTCAGCACCGACCAGCAGAAGCAGCTGCGGAGCCATGTGCCACTCGGGACTGACCGGTGCAGGCAGGGGGAGAATGCAGCTCGGACCCTGCCGGGCTCATCCTGTCCTGAGTGGCACATGGCTCTGCCGCCGCTTCTGCTGGCCGGTGCAGACCTGGCTGGGCTCCTCCCATCCCCAGTAGCATGTGGGAACCTGGCTTCAGCCGCACCCCGCTTTTCCTGGCCAGTGCTGACCCGGCTGGGTCCATCCCATCCAAAGCAGCATGTGGCTGAAGCCCGGTTCCCACGAGCTGCTGGGGATGGGAGGAGCCTGGCCGGCAGAAGCGGCAGTGGAGCCATGTGCCACTTGGGATGGACGAGCCTGGCCAGAGCACCAGGGGCTGAGCTGCATTTTCCCCCGCCTGTGCCGGTCAGTCCCAAGCGACACATGGCTCTGCCGCCACTTCTGCTGGCTGGTGCCAACCTGGCCGGCCTCCTCCCATCCCCAGCAGCACATGGGAAGCTGGCTTCAGCTGCATGCTGCTCTGGATGGAACAGACCCACCGAGGTCGGCACCAGCCAGCAGAAGTGGCAGCGGAGCCGTATGCCACTTGGGACTGACCGGCGCAGGTAGGGGGAAAATGCAGCCCAGCCCCTGCTGCTCCGGCTGGGCTCATCCTGTCCCAAGTGGCACATGGCTACTCCTCTTCCCACACGTACCACATCGGCAACATCAAGCTGACGCGGTGTGTGTGGGAACCTTGCCCCTTCCCCAGCCCTTCAGCAGCCATTAGGAAGCTGCTGAGGGAGGGACAAGGGATGGGAAAATACCTCAGCAGGTCACATGGCGGCCCACAGGCCATATGTTGGGCAAGCCTGGTAAGGTATCTACATCACAGGACTGACACGAGGTTTAACCACATTAGGAGCTGGGGAACTCTGGAATCAAAGGCATTTTCAGAGTATATCATCACTAACTGAAAGATTAACAGTCCAGCAGATGCTTCATCACTAAAAGAATCTGTATCAAAGCAAAGAATATAATGATACCTAAAAGAGCCATGTGATAAAAATGTGCAAAGATAATGGCAGTGATAACTTACGGCATTCCTTTTCATCACTTTCATCAAAGCAGTCGGGCAGCCCATCACACTGCCAGGCCCCTGGGATACAGCGCCCGTTACTACACATGAAGTTTCCAGGAATATTACATTCATTTGTGAAGTTGTTTCCAGGCAACAGCTGGCTATCTGCAAAAGAAGGGACAAAAAGAAAAGATCCCACATGATTTACAGAAGTGACTTTAACTTCTTAAGTTGTAGTCTGCTGGCATATACAGGCAAATGCAAAGCCAATGATGCTGCTGCTCACCAGTGGAATAATTAAAACACATGATGATTTTCAGGGAACCTGCTTCCTTGAGAGGTTTTACTCTTCACTACTGGTCTCCAACCCAGAAGCACCATCTTCCCCTCCCTCATTCCCACCCACTACATCCTGTGGGATTTTCCCAAATTACGGAGATCTCTGGGCTTCTTCTCCTCTTTTCTAAGGCATACACCCATGTAAAACCAAACAAGACTACAAATTGGGTTCCAAATCCCCATAATTCTGCCTGATTAGTATTTTGTCTGCAAAACATTTTTCTATCCCCCAGGGGCTGGGAACTAGATGGTATGTTGGTTAATGCATACTAGCTTTTCAATTTAGTTTTAAATACAGTGCTGCTAGTGAAAATTAGAAGTGAGCTTCCTGGTCTTAATCTAGTCCCCTGGCATACATCTGTTCACAGGCAAGAAAGGCAGCTGGCACATTAAAACAGTCTGGCAAAGAAAGCAGATTCAGCACTAGAATGGAAGAAGGGCTTCAGAGCAGGATGGAAGCATGAGGGCCAAGTCTACAGGTCAAACGTGACTCCACTCAGTAATCTCAATCCCTTGGAGGTGTTAAATGCAGATACCCTACTAAACTTCAGGAAAAATACATGAGGGAGTATGCAACAAGCTGTTAAAGAAAACTGAAGATGCAAGCTCACAGATAGGAATCCTTTTTTCCGATTCAAGGTGAAGAGCAGCACTGTAAAGCTTCAAATCTGAACTACAGAATAATAATGAATGGGACAGATGGTGGAAGAAAGATGCTTTTCTCCTCCCTTCATAGTTTGCCGCCTCAGTTGTGTAGACTGCCACCTGTACTCAGGGTTCTCATACATTTTTGCCTTCTCTGTTCCAGCTACTGATCCCCTAGGACATCATTCCTTCAATCCCCATCAGTGGTCCAAACCCCCTTCCCAGCAACCTCCACTCCATCATTCCAATCTCGCCATTACCAACTTTCTCAATGTTCATATGAACGTATTTGGTGTCTTGCATAAAGCCTCATCTCTTGGAGACAGATAATTTTAAGAAAATCTCAGCTTTCTCATATTTAGGAGCTGGGGAATGAATGGGGGGGGAGAGAGTGAGAACAACAACAACATTTCTAACCCTAAAACTTTGCTGTGCAAATTAAAAATTTTACTCTTTGCATCCTAATGACTCAAAAAACAGGAAAAGCAAATTAAAAAAAGAAAGAAAATGTATTAAAAAATAAAGAACAACTTCTGATTGTTAAGATATTCTTGTGCTCTTTGAACACTGGGGATGACAATACTACAATCTACTCTCTGTGCTCCCTTGATATCAGGGAAAATTTAAGTGCTTATTCCAGGGGTAGGCAATGGTTTTTGGCCAGAGTGCAGAAAAAACCACAATATCTACCTTGAGTTGGGAACCTTAACTATTAGCTATGCTTTCAGCTCTATCCATATTAATCTGCAGTGCTGCATAAAAGAAGGCAGCTTTCAAAGAACAGGCCCAGACCATGTGCAAACATTTTATTTTCTTCTGCTTTTGTCAATTTTATCCATTTCTTCTTTTTCCATTCTCTGCTTCATTACATACCTGTTCAAGTGAAGCCAATTTCATTTGACCCACATCCTAGTGCATAGAGGTCACTACCTAGTACATGCTGGAAAGAGTCCCTGAGCTGAATGCCTGCCCACTCTAGCTTGTCTTCACTAGCAGAAGTATCTACTGCTGACAGCAGTTGGAGGCAAACCATATCCAGCTCCAGTTCAGATTTGAATCACCATTCCTAAAGTAGTACTGAAAATTATTTGTCCTTGACTACTCTTGCAGAGAAAACCACATGAAGCATCAGTTCAACTGCAGCCACTGCTGGCTACAGTTACCATCAGTAAGCACCTGGCAAGTGCAAAGCCTCAGAGCATCACTGCAGATACAAGTTTTGCAATTTTATGCTCAACCAACAAGTCAATTTTTACCCTCACCTGAATCCAGTTCAAGTCATTCTTTGCATCACTGATCTGTATCTGCTAAGCAATTGCTAAGTCAAATCAACACTTTCAAACAACTACACACAGAGGGTGAACACCGTGAACCTTACAGCAACCTTCTAACAGCAAAAAGCAACCAACGTGCTAAGAATACAGTGCACATGCCCCACTATCAGGGAAAGCAATATATAATTAGCCAGGTTAAAATCTGAAATAACGGGGCTAGATCCTCTTTTTTCTTGGCTCACAGTTGATCGGCATTCTTCTTAGTCTAATTATACAATATATAACAGCTTAAACTTTAGTACCAGATCCCAATGGGATCAGTTAAAAAAAACAAAAAAACCCACACATACATATAGGCAATGTGACGCTACTGGAACACTGTCTTTGGAGACAGTCCCTGTTTAGTAATTTTAATAACAGGCATTTTCTTTGAGAGATCCTGAGACAGAAAGAACCAAAGGCTTTATGCTGTTACATCATTAATGAATTAAGATTTACCATGCACTAAATACAGGAAGAATTATCTCTGTTCTGCAGCTGAGGAAATTAAGGTGAGGCCCTAGTCCACATAAGAAGGTTTAAATCTAAGTCGCAGCAAGTGCAGGCCTATCTTCCTCTGATACTACTGTTATCAGTGGAAGCAAAAGTACGATCTAGGGTTCACATATTTTTGTTGCCATGTTATCTAGTCCTTCTCTATTCATTCACAGAACTCAACCTATATGAAATTGAAATTCTGGTTGTGTCTTCACCAAGGAGAGCATAGAAGGATCTAGGATTTTGAAAAGGGTGGTGCAGATGGTGTGGCACATATCACATATAACACAACACAAAACTATTCTCCAGTTAATGATTAAAGTGTCTCTTTACGAACGTGCTAGGGGCCTAGCGCTACATCACTCAGTTTAAGATCAAAGCAAAAAGAAATATAGCTATTGGAATATGCACTAATTCTCTAGATTGTATATAAAGCTTTAAAAAACCACAACAAACTAGGAAAAAAATAGTCAGAATACTGGTAGTCAAAAGAAATCATCTCATTAGTCCTGTAGTCATTATAGTTAAATGTACATCTTTTATTCATAGTCATAAAACAAAATCTAGCCTTCTTGAGCATTTCAACATGCATCCATTACTTCACTGTCCATCATTTCTACACCCGAGTTAATATTACCACACCTGAGTTAAGGTTTTTTAGCTAAAGCAAGACTGTGAAATAGAAGAAAGACGTTACCAGGAATGGCTAACAGACAAGCTAAACTGCCGAGAAAAGGATAGTTTGAATAGTGGAACATCAAGACAATTAAAAAGGATAGACTGTTATTAACACCTGTGAAATGGGCAGAGAGATTAGCAGGAATCAGAGAGACAATAATGAGCCATAAAGTTAATTGATTCTCTCAGCAAAGCCTGAATAGAAATGGTGCTGCCCTCCCAGGAAGCTGGTTTTAAAATTTGGGTGGAGCAGTAATCAAAGGTGTAGAGGCTGCAACTGCACCTCCCTGAATCCACCCTTGAATGAGAGCCAGGGTTGTGTTACAGGAAGTCTGGCAGAGCTAAGAATGGTACCCAAATCTAACTCCCCCTTTCTTTTGCCTTAACCACTGTTCTCTAAGCAGAAGAAACCTAGTCAGAACCATTTCCAAAGAACATGATTCAGATACAATGGGTCTTATAGACTCTGGAACTTCTAAACTCTAGTATTTTACTTGTTTTCTACATTTAACCTAATATGACCAGGATAAGTGTCTCAGATTCATTCTAGGTCAAGCCAAATTTCTTAAAGGAAATCTCTGCATTCCAAGTTTCTCTTCCCCTTTTAAATACAAAATGATCATGCTGTCCCAAAAAGATAAAGATATAATAGATCAGGATTCTTGGTATAGATATCAAATCCCATTCAGCAGCTAATAAAAGATTGCTTGTAGGCTTTCTAATGACATTCAAATTTATCCTAACAATGTCTTTTAAAAAAGAATCCATTGCCCCTTTTTACCAGAGGGGAAAGCGATACAGAGTGAATAAGCATCTCAGCTAAGTTCACACAAAATCTTCACTTCAGAGTTACAATTAGCAAGGCCTTTAACCCTTTAGTGGGCCCTAGGCAAACAAACTCGTGGGCAACTTTTTCACTCAATAATTATAATATGTAAAATAAGCACAACTGGTCACAAGTGTTGGGAGTCTCCTTCAGTCTCTCCTAATCAATATCAATAAATCTAAAGGACTGTGATGGCATCTTCAATCTAGCTGTTGCCCCTCAACCCCAGGCATGCACTCTTTCTGCCCATTCAACCGAAACACTGGGTGCTGGCTAATTCATAGGGAGTAGGTGTTACAGAAACACTGAAAACAGATGTAAGACAGACCAAATTAGTCCATACCGTCCATTTCTCTGAAGGATCAAACTACTACTTTAAAATAATGTCCACACAGCTGTCAGCTTTTCTGCAGCCAAGTTGCTATACTACTGCCTGTTGGCAATGGCAGAAATTCCTTCAGTCTGGCACAGGCAGCTTCCAATAGCTGATATATTTATCCTGCAAGCCTCTTTGACTAATTCTGAATCTAAAGCAGATACTAACTACATGCATGCGTTCAGTCAAGAAAAGTTAAAAAGTGGCCCATTTTCACTGTAACACATTGCTCACTTTAAAAAGCACACACCATCTGGGCTGAATAAAAAAGGCCTTGTGTTTCAATTTAAGGGGGGTTGTGGGGGGAGGGGAAGTATGGCTCCTTCCAAAAATATTGGCACGAAATATTTAACACTTGCTAAAAAAAAAAAGTTTTAAGCATTCAGGAAAAAATGTCATACTACGCTCTTCACATTTTATTAGTGCAGAAGGACAAGTATATCATTCAGACAACATCTTTCATTGCAAAAGGATTCCAAACCAATTTCTACAGCATTTAGTGCTACTGCAATGCTGCTCTCTCTCTCTGGTGGAAGGTACAGGAAAATAAAAGTAGGCAATGTTCAGGACAAACTGGACCTCTACTGTCTACCTAGATCAGGTCAAAGTTCTTCATGTCTCTTCTAAAGCTAACTACAAACAGACATTCAGGTGTTTAAACAGGGTTCAAAATAGCCACCCAATTTAAACTTAGCTCATCCTTGTCCAGACCTGCTCTCAGTGACCAGCAGTTAGTCTGTACAGAAGTTCCATGCACACAAAGCAGTCTAAAAACTGCAGAACCTGGGTTAAGATGAACCTAGACCTATGTAGTACCAAACGTACTTGATTTAGGTCAAACCAGTGCATGGCACTTCTAAGTTTTCCCTATGCAGCCTTGGGGCTGGGAAAACCCAGCTACTGGCCCCAGATCTGGGGCTGCTCTTTTCACCCTCCACCCCCCACCACTGGGCTATTTTTTGCCGCCCCCCCCCCCCCCCCCCCCCGCCC